CTTTTGTCCTTAATGAGTTTGGAAAAAACACCTTTGGATTCTCCTTCACCCTATTTGCCAAAGTTATTGCATGTCCTCTTTTCTCCCTCCTGATTTCCCTCTTAAGTATACTCCTACTGCCTTTATACTCTTCTAGGGATTCACTCGATCCCTGTTGTCTACACCTGACATAGGCTTCCTTCATTTTCTTGCGCAAGCCTACTGACCAAAACACATCCGGAGGGGGCATGAAACATCCAGCCCATGGTCTCAACATTTACTAATGCTTCAATGTGAGCAACTCCACTCATGGGTCACTTCATAACTGGAGAACCAGTGAATTCACTGTGTAGTGATTCACGATTCTATGATTCTATGATTTGAATTCACTAGAAAACAAGCAGGAACTGATCGTACATTACTCTTGCTCATTGAAACTGGAATATTTACTTCTTGTTTTTATTGATGGGAAAATCCTTCAGTTTTTTTCTCCCCCCAGGCCTCATCTCTCCAAGGAACCTCAAAGCTGAGGACCAGCTTGGACACATGGAGAGAGATGGAAAGGTTTCTCTTTTGAATTTTTCATTTTGTTCTGGATAAGTTCCTCATGTGTGCAAAAAGTCTCCTGGCATTGATAGATCCATAATTTGGCATTGGTGGTACTACACGAAAACATCAATCCCAGAATCCTGAAATCTAGTAGGTGAAAGCAGTATAGCACATCATTCCTGCTTTACCAAAAAACTAGCCTCAGGCAATATAGGGCTGGGCTGTGTGGTCACTCTATTATTTACAATCTGTTTGAACACAAAGAATAGTCACAGGCAAAGCACCTGAACTTGCAGCACACATAAACTGCGGATGTCCAAGTTGATGTTTGGAATTGAAAGGCAGTAAGTACAGAAAAGTGAGAATTAAAATTGGACCATAAAGACAATGGGACATAACGAGAGGATTAACAGTGGGGCATTCAGCCCTGAGAGAGGCTATTCCATCATTCAAAGCAATCATGACAAATGTGTGTCTCATCTCAAATGAATCCACCTTGGTTCCTTATCCTTGTCCTGTAAAAAAAAAATTGATTTCAGATTTAAAGTGATAAAGTTGACAAGTACTGATTTCTGTGGCAGAGACTTCTCCTACTAAATGAATGAACAACTGTTTTCCCAAGTCTCTCTGGAATGTTCTGGCTCTAATTTTAAGGTTATATTCCCTTGTCCCACACTCTCTACACCAGTGGAACAAGTATCTTGATCCACCCTATCAATTCCTTCAAAAATCCTCAAACAAATGACAAGTTAACTTCTATACTCTAGTGAATGCAGGCTTGTTTGTGTAATCTCTCCTCATAAAATCTAACCCTTACAGAGATGGTAACATTCTGGTGAATCTGCACTGTAGTCCTTCCAAGGCCAATATAGTATTTTCTTAGGTACATTATTTAGAGCTATATGCCAGATGTGGTTTAATCTAGCTTTTACAAAGTGTAGGAAAGCATCTTTCCTTTTATATTCTAAATCTTTACTTATAAAAGCCAATATTTCATTAGCATTTCTATCACATACTGCACTTCACCCTGTAAATTATCTCAGTAGATGAATTAGTAGGAAGTGAAAGCTATCACAATCTTTCTAATAACGATACACCAAATCCAGGCAGTAAAATGGCTTCTTCAGTGCTCTACAGAAGGGTGAAATCCCAACTTGCTTTATCGCCTTCCTGAGCTCTTATCTGTTGGCAAATCTCAGCCAAATCCACAACCACCTTGGCCATTCATTTCAATCTGGTTCGATTTCCTATCTCAGTCATTATCTATTGGAGTCTAATCTGGGGAACAGAAAACTAAGAATATTCACTTCTCTTGAAAACTTCACTTACTATTTGTAGAGGAAATTCTCTTGCATTAAAAATTGCAGCCACTTTTAGAACTGAAAGGATTTCAATTACAAGCATCTGACCCCACGCTGCCAGCTGGAATGAGCTTGATTGACTAATTTACCGGAGATATCTCAGCTCAAATAACATTTCTTATTCAAAAAACTTACTTATAGTCACAGGTCTTATTCGTACCGGAATTAATCAATTAATTAATTGGTTCACTCAATCTAAAAGAAATGTCTGTATTTGAAAGATTTCTCAGTAATGATACCACAAAATTATTAATCAATTGTCATAAAGAACACAACTCTCTCACTGAGGGATCCTTTCAGGCAGGATATCTGCTGTGTTTTTCTGGCCTGTTCGACATGTGATTTCAGACCCACAGGTGCAGTCGTTGACTCTCAAATGCCCTAGCAAATCACTTAGTTGTACTAAACTGCTCCAGGAAGTAAGAAACCAATAAAACTGGATATGTGGCATCCATAGACGCACCAGAAACATCAAGGGCACACCCATTGTATTGACCTCACAAAGATTGTTGTACTTGTACCTGGAGATGTCTGCCAAAGTGAGACAGCTGGATTACAGTTTGTCAGATTGTTGCTTGACTTGCCTATGATTGGGTGCATATAAATGATGCAATCGGTCAGGTTTACTGTCATGACCGTCTTGGAGGGTGTTCTGTCTAACTGTGAGGACTGACCCACTGGCAGAGTTTTCTGGGCAGCTCTCAAAACGGACTCTGCATTCCACAAGAATCTCATGGCACCAGGGTAAACATGGGCAAAGAAACCTCCTGCTGATTACAATCTTCCTCCTCACCCTGCTTCCCTCTGCCGCTCCGACCTCAGCAGATGAAGCAATACTCCTTTGTATTGAATACAAATTGGAAGCAACAAGGGTATAAGCGTACTAAGCATTATCCTTACCAATTTGTAGATCAGAGTGATAACCATGTAGTCCTTGTGGAAACTCATCTTTTCATTGACTATACACTCTATTGTCTTGTGTGGTATTGTCATTACGTCAAATGAGATGAATAACAAATCTAGCAGTTCAAGACTGAACCTCTACAAGGCACTGTGAGCCAACAGCAGATGGTATTCAACCACAATGTAACCGCATGGTCTGGCACATACCCCAGTTCACCATTATCAAGGTACGAGATTAACTTTGGCTCAATGGAGACTGTATAAAAGGGCAAGCCAGGAGCAGTACCATGCATACCTAAAACTGAGGTATTGATTTGGTAAAACTACAAATCAGGATTATATGTATGCCAAACAGCACAAGCAGCAAGTGACAAATAGAGCCGAGCAATTCCACAGCCAGTGGGTCAGATTTAACTTCTGTAGACCTGACACATCCAGTTGTGAATGGCGGAGCTGGAGGAGAAAGCTCTACAAAGTATCCTCACCCCCAACAATGGAGGAGCCCAGCATATCAGTGCAAAAGACAAAGAGGGGGCATTTACAATAATCTTCAGACGGAAGTACTGAGTGGATGATTAATCTTGGCCTCTTTCTGAGGTCTGCAGTATCACAGATACCAGCTTTCAGTCAATTTGATTCACTCCACATGACACCAAGAAACAGCCGAGGACACTGGACACTGCAAAGGTTAGGGGCCCTGACAACAGCCCAGCTGTATTACAGCTGATACAGCAGTACTGAAGACTTGTGCTCCAGAACTTGTCACGCCCCTAGCCAAACTGTTTTAGTACAGCTCCAACACTAGCATCCACCTGACAATATGGAAAATTTCTTAAGCTTGTCCTGTCCACAAAAAAACAAAGCAAATCCAACTTGACCACTCCAACTACTTGATCATCAGCACACTGAAGGAAAGGGTTGTTGATAGTGCCATCAAGTGCAACTTACTCAGCAATAATTTGCTCACCAAAGCGCAATTAGGGTTCTGCTGGAGTCATAAGACTTCCAAACTCATTACAGTTTTGGTTGAAAAATGGACAAAACAATTGCACTTGAGGGGGAGATGTGAGTGATGACGCTTATTATGTACTAGTGGGCAACATGCTTTCTACCAGCTGATTCACCAGGGGACCCAGATGATTCCCACTGACTTCCTGATCTAGGCACAAACCGAGAACCCAATCTAGAATGGGCTGCATCGCAAGATTCTGCATACTAATATCCTGGCTCAGACGGAGGCTTTAATAAGCAGCATTTGATCAAGTATGGTGCCAAGGAGCCCAGAAGCCCAGAAAAACTGAAGTCAATGTAAATCAGAGGGAAAACACTGGAGTTGAATTCATACCTAGTGCAATGAAAGATGATTGTTGGAGAATAATTACTACAAATCCAGGATGTTGCTGCAGGAGTTCCTTTGGGGTGTGTATCTTACACCCAGCCATCTACAGGTGCTTCGATGTCCTTCCCAATATAAGGCCAAAGATGGGAAATTTTGCTTAGTTTTGTACAATGTCCAGTACTATTCACAATTCCTCAGATAATGAAGCAGTCCATTCCAATCACAGCAAAACTTGGACAATATTTAGACATAGGCCTATTTACCCCATAAGTGCTAGGCAACACAAAAGAATCTAACACTCTCCTTTTGACATTCAATTGCACAGCTATCATTGAACTTCCCCTGCCAACGTCATCCTGGGGGTTACTATTGACCAGAAATTGAACTAGATCAGCCATATAAATACTATGGTTACAAGAGTAAATGTAGACTATAGACTGAGGCTGGAATTCTAAGGTGATTACCACAAGCTTCCCAAACCCTGCACAATCCACAAGACATAATTCCAAAGTCTGATGGAATACTATCCACCACCTGGATAAAGTACAGCTCCAACAACACTCAAAAGTTGCGCAATTGACTAAGAGCATTTCTTCACTTTAAATCTTAACTTTGCGAATTGAAGATCACAAACTCCACAGATCCTTTCTGGTAAGATTTACGCTGAATGATTTGCTATAGAAATACACAAGTTGCTGGGCAGATCTCCAACTTGGATCATTTGTCTTAATAGCCAAGTAATATTGGTTCCAAATAGTGGTCACCTCTACTCTAGATCCCCAAGTCTACTGTAAGATTCATCATCTCAATATAATTTAGTAAAGCAGTGCAGAGTCAAATTAAGGTGATACACTTGACAGTTTCCTCACCTTTTCTGGTTCATGAGGAGCTCTCTATGCAGTTCTTGGTGACTCCTAGAGGCTTTGACTGGATTGAGAAGCTTCTTGGGCCTGATGAGCTCAGGGTTATCATCAAAATAATCAGGTTCGGCCATGAGGCTTCTGATCTCCGAGGGATTATTGTGCCTTTCAGAGTACATGGAGGCTAAAGAAGAGAAGATAATTATGTTAACATTGTCAACAAGAAAACAACTGTTAACCCAATGCATGTACATACATTTAGACAAGGAATGGACTCTTGTAAATCATTGTTAGCACAGCAATGATCCTCCGGCACAATCGTTTGCAGGAGATAATGCCTCATTCAATAGCTGTTGCAAGTCAACAAATAATTGAAGCAATATGCAATGGAAGTTTTCATTCAAAAGTGCTAGTACATTTTTATGTTCCTACTTTCATTGTGTTCTTCAGATTTTCTGCCATTGGCGCATTCTTTCATGTATGAGCTTACCATAATGATACAAAATGCAAACTACCATAACTCATCAGGTAATGAACACTCTGTCATTTGTCTCAGAGTGAAGCTGGAAGCCAGGGACACTCGAGTACGTTTTGTGCCTGTTCAAAAACACCTCTTCTGAATAGCAGAGATAGTAGGAACTGCCGATGCTGG